GCCATTAAGTTGCTTGAATGAGCTGTCTCGAATTTCTTCTTGAAGGCACTTAGTGCTATGAACTTTCCTCTTAGCACTGCTTTCATTGTGTCCCACAAGTTAGGGTATGTTGTGTCTTTATTTTCATTGAGTTCTAGAAAGGCTTTAATTTCTTTCTTTATTTCTTCCCTGACCCAGCTGTCATTTAGTAACAAGTTGTTCAGTTTCCATGAGTGTGTAGGCTTTTTGCTATTTCTGTTGTTGTTGAAGTCCAGCTTTATTCCATGGTGATCAGACAGGATACAAGGGATTATTTCAGTCTTCTTGTATCTGTTGAGGCTTGCTTTGTGACCAACTATATGGTCTATTTTGGAGAAGGTTCCATGAGGTGCTGAGAAGAAGGTAAATTCTTTTGTGTTTGGGTGTAAAGTTCTGTAGATGTCTGTGAGGTCCATTTGATTCATGACCTCTGTCAGAGATATTGTTTCTTTGTTTAATTTCTGTTTTGTTGACCTGTCCTTTGTTGAGAGTGGGGTGTTGAAGTCTCCCACTATTAATGTGTGGGGATCTATATGTGGTTTAAATTTTATCAATGTTTCTTTTACAAATGTGGGTGCTCTTGTATTTGGGGCATAGATGTTCAGGATTGTGATGTCTTCCTGGTGGAATTTTCCCTTGATGAGTATGAAGTGTCCTTCCTCATCTCTTTTTATTATTTTTGGTTGGAAGTCTATTTTATCAGATATTAGAATGGCTACTCCTGCTTGTTTCTTGGGTCCATTTGCTTGGAAAGTCATCTTCCAACCTTTTACCCTCAGGTAATGTCTATCTTTGTGTCTTAGGTGTGTTTCTTGTATGCAACAGATTGCTGGGTTTTGTTTACGTATCCATTCTGTTAATCTGTGTCTTTTTACTGGAGAGTTGAGTCCATTGATGTTGAGAGAGATTAATGACCAGTGGCTGTTAGATCCTTTGATTTTGATGTTGGCTGTGTTCATAAGTTTGTGTGCTTGGTTGCTTTTTGTTTTGCTGTAGTAAGGTTAATTATTTCCTGTGTTTTCTTGACAGAAGCTAATTTTCTTGGGTTGTATTTTCCCTTCCAGTGTCTTCTGTAATGCTGGATTTGTGTGTAGGTATTGTTGAAATTTGTTTTTGTCATTGAATATCTTGTTTTCTCCGTCTATGAGGACTGAGAGTTTTGCAGGGTATAGTAGCCTGGGTTGACATCTGTGTTCTCTTAGGGTCTGCATGATATCTGTCCAGGCCCTTCTGGCTTTCATAGTTTCTGTTGAAAAGTCAGGTGTGATTCTAATGGGTTTGCCATTATATGTTACTTGGCCTTTTTCCCTTGCAGCTTTTAGTATTTTTTCTTTGTTCTGTATACTTCCTGTTTTGATTATTATGTGGCGGGAGGATTTTCTTTTCTGGTCAAATTTGTTGGGTGTTCTGTAGGCCTCATTTATCCTTATTGGCTTCTCCTTTAACTTGGGGAAATTTTCTTCAATGATTTTGTTGAAAATATTTTCTGGGCCTTGGAGAAGGGAGTCTTCTTTTTCCTCTATTCCTATTATTCTCAGATTTTGTCTTTTCATATTGTCTTGTATTTCTTGGAAGGTCTGTGTCAGGAATTTTTTGGATTTCACATTTTCTTTGACAGATACATCGATTTCTTCCATTGTATCTTCTACACCTGAGATTCTTTCTTCCATTTCTTGTATTCTGTTGGTTATGCTTACCTCTGTAGTTCCTGTTTTCTTCCCTAAATTCTTCCTCTCCATTATTTCCTCCATTTGTGTTTTCTTTAATTTTTCTAGTTCTATCTTCAGGTCTTGAGTTGTTTTGTTTACTTCCTTCACCTGTCTGCTTGTATTTTCCTCTTTTTCTTTTAGTTCCTTCAACTCTGTTTCTTTGATTTCTTTCAGTGATTTAATTATTTCTTCTCTGAAGGCCACAAGCTGTTTGGCTGCATCTTCCCGTATTTCTTCACGGATGGCCCTAATTTGCTTGTCTTTATCTTCCTCCATTTCTTTACGGATAGCCATGATCTGTTTGGTTTTATCTTCCTCTAATTCTTTACGTATTTTATTTGTCTCCTCTATTATCTTCTTCATCAACATAGATGTAAGGTCCTCTTCTTGATTTTCTATTATGCTGCATTGTTCAGGGCTGTTCGCCCCTGGATGGCTGGGTTCTGGAGATGCCATATTGCTCTGTCTTTTGTTGGTTGAGCCTTTACGCTGACCTCTACCCATTGTGCTGATTTAGGTTTTGGCTGTTAGTTTCTGTGCTTCCTGGAGTCCTGAGGTAGGGAGTATCCCCTTGGCCGGAAGATGATTTTTCCTGAAGGAGTCCTTCTCTGCTTTTTGGTTATGGTCACTGTATGGCCAGTGTTTCTCCGGAGATGCCACTGCTCACCTCAGGTTTATAGCCCTGAGTAGTAGCTGTGGTCTATGTTAGGCAGGGGGGGATCTCCTCTTACCCATAAAATTTCTCAAGACAGCTGCCCCACTGCTGGGTTTCTTGTTATAAATTTAGTGTGCTGCTGCTCACTAAATTTCCATGTACAGTCCTCTTGAAGAAACTGCTGATTCCCTAGCTATGGGGTTTTCTCCCAACAGGGAAACTCAGTCTGTTATCCTGGGGCGCACAGTTCTGTCTGAGAAAGTGGGAGGTGCACTCAGCAAGTCTCTGGGCCAAAGGCTGATTGCTCTGCTCTGGACCTGGAGAATGTGCACCTAGGTTGATTTGGCGCCTGGGGGCACTGTTCTGGTCTGGAGGCTGGGTGCCTCACTCTGGACCAGAAGCTGTGTGTCTCTGTCTGGGATGGCGGCTGTAGGCACCACTCTGGTCCAGATGCTGTGGGTGCAGCCCCCCTGAAGGATCAGGGATTCCTACAGTTTTGGCAGTCCAGCCAGGGACAACTGGCCGATCCCTGGCACAGTATCTGAGGGCTGCTGTAATGGCTCTTCGATTCCTGCAGGTCCAAGGATGCAGCTGTGTGTCCCAGTGCCCCAGGGGAACGCAACAATGGCGGCAGAGCACAGCGCTTCTGCCTGCACTAGAGTCTGCGTGAGTCCAGGAAGTGTTTTGGTGCTGGGTGTCCTAAGCGTTAGAGCTGCTGACCCCCTCCACTGGGGGTTTCCTCCTGCCAGAGACACGCAGTCTGGTGCCCTGGTGCCCTGGTGCCCACAGTTCTATCTGAGGCGGCGAATCAGGCGCGCAGGCAGGGCGCTGTGCAGGCAGGCGCCTTTGTCCCTCCCGGCTCTGGGTCCGGGCTGGCTCCTGGGGCACCCGCGGAACCCGAGTCTTTTCCAGGGGATGTCTGGGTAACCTGGGGTCGGTCCCAATTGTTTCCTGCTCCGTGGGGTTATCTCTCGACTGGGAGATCCAGTCTATGGTGTTGTGGGCCCACAGTTCAGTCTGGGACCGTGACCAGATCGCGCTGGCGGGTAGCTCTGGGCTGGCGACCAAGCGCCTGGCGGAACGGGGATCTCTTCCGCGGTTTAGCCGGGTGAGTTAAAGCTGATCGAATCCCCCACCGTGGGGTATCCTCTCACCTGAGAAACACAACCACTTGTGTTTTATGGCCGCGAGTTCTGATTGCTGGTCACTGTGCCAATCCTGCTGTGCTGCTCCTCAGAATGAGAGTCCTCCCCGCGCTGCCATCTTGCCCCGCCGACTCCACTTTATTTTTTGAGACAGGATCTCCCGCAGAACCTAGAGCTTACCGTTCACAACACCAGCAGACCAATGAGCTCCAAGGATCAACCTGCTTGTCTCTGCTCCTCAAGCCATCACTGGGGACACTAACTCATCCCATCATGTTTGGCTTTTATATGGGTGCTGGGGATTCAAGCTCAGGCCTTCATGTTAGCATGGCATGCAGCTTACCAATTGAGCCATCTTCCAGCCCCCTATACTAAACTATTAAGGATCAAATCAAAGGAAATCAAAGGGTACCTCTTCCCACTCACTAAACCGTAACTTACACAGATTCACACACAGCCTCTTGTCCTCCGTTATATAGCACTTATCACACTCAGTTGTAACTACTGACACTCTGCAACCTTTCTCACTAGTCGGAGAAGTCTATGAGAAAAAAACTGTTGCTTGTTCAATTCTAGAGTCTCATGATAATATCTTTTATTTGAAGCCCGCTCAAATAGTACTTATTAACCTAATCAAGAAGTTTGTGAGAGGGATGTGTACATCAGATGGTATGGAGATATAAATAAATTTTAAAAATAGCTACAAGTGTTCTAAACACTTAACTATGTGTAGGAACTCTGTACAGGTTTTGTATTACATGTATTTTCTAACATAATCCTCATAGTACATAATCAATACCAGTTAAATCCATTGATAGATAGAAAAACTGAGTACAGAGAGATCGAACATATCACTCCAGATTAGACAGTTAAGGCCCAGAGCTGAGATGTGAAGCCACATCATGTTATGTCTGGATCTTGGTCCCTGCACACTGCTTTGGCAATATTGATGAATCACATTTCTCAAAGCACAATGCTCAGAACAACCTGGGTAGGTGGAATGCTGAAGGAGACAGCTCTCTACAATTTCTTCTTAATTCCAAGATCTTCCAATCATAAAATCACGATGTTGGAAACTGTTGTGTGAGCCATAAAACAATATAATCATGGATGTCCTTTTTAACATGAACTTAAAACACATTTCTCTTCTCCTCACACTTAATCATCTTTATCACATAAGGTCCCCAGGAAGACCTATAAGGCAGTGAAAGCAGCCATTGATGAAGGATACCGGCACTTTGATGGGGCCTACATCTACCACAATGAGCATGAAGTCGGTGAGGCCATCAGAGAAAAGATAGCAGAAGGGAAGGTAAAGAGGGAAGAGATTTTCTACTGCGGAAAGGTGAGTCATTTCTTCCTATGTAGGTACCGTGAACATAGGATAGGTTGAGGTTACAGCGCAGTAGGATAGCCCTCACCTAGTGTGCACAAGGTCTTAAATGTGATCTCAAACACTGGAAAACAATAAAGAAAGAAGTGGGGGAAGAAGCAGAGGAGGAAGAGAAGGAAGTGGCAAATTATTCTTTGAAATTCTTTAATTTGCTGAAAAGTAAACCTGTGTATACATGTACATCATTCAGATATAAGAGAACACACACAGCAACATATGACCACAGGCAAACAGAAAGCCATGTGTAACTGAGCTCAAGAAAGGGCTGGTGGTTTGGCCCATTAAGGTCTGTTTTCACCACAGCTTTACCAATACCAAGGGCAGTAAAAGGTGGAAGGTGAATGCCCAGACTTCGGTGGTGGGCTTTTGTTGTGGTTTGGATAAGAATGACCTTATAGGCTCATATGCTTATATGTTTAGTCCCCAGTTGGTGAACTGTTTGGAAGGATGAGACGATATGGGGGCTTCAGGAGTGGGGGTCCTTGTTGAAGGAGGTATGTTGCTAGGGGTAAGCTTTGAGTTTTCAGAAGCCCAAAGCAGGCCCAGCACTCTCTATATGCTGCCTGTGAATCAGTACTGATTCACAGTACTCTCAGTTATTGATCCAGTTACATATGTGCCTGCCACCGTGATGATCATGGATGATGGATGATGTCTCTGAAATTATAAACAAGGCCATGAGTAAATGCTTTCTTTTGTAAGAGTTGCCTTAGTCATGGTGTCTCTTCATAGCAATAGAACAATGACTAAGACAATTACCCATGTCAGAAGATGTTCCCCACAGCATAATACAAGAGAATATTTTAAAAAATAACTATATGGTCTAGCTGTGGGGTACTTAACATTTATGAACCTTGTTTTTCCTCTATAAAGATGGGAAAATAAAGCCAAGCATTTCATAAACTTATGAATTAGCATTTACAAAGCATTTAAACTGTACTGAGCACAAAACTAATATGTCTTTATAGAACAAAAACAACAACAAAAACATTAAACAGGACCTGTAATCTAGGAGACTCAGGAGGCTGAGGAAGGAGGATCACAGTTTAGTGCCTTCTTGGGATACAGATGGAGTTAAGACTGCTTAAGTAACTTAACAAGCATTCATCTCCAAAGTTAGTAAGGAATAAGGCTGTAGCTCAGTGGTAGTGTTTATGTGGCTTGCATGAGGCCCTGGGTTCATTCCTCGACATCACAGACAGAAAAGAGAAAAAGGAAAATGGAATTTTCACTTGAATGGAATGGCAGTGATAATGCCAATGGGGTCCATGATAATGGCAGAAGTACATTTCTCTACTCTCATTCCTTTACATATTTTCTACCCTGTGCTCCCTCTCCTCCTCACTAGGGTTTGAAGCCAGGGCCTTATGCAGGAAGGGCAGGCACTAACTCACTAAGCTGCACTCCCAACCTTTTTAATGGTATGTGTATATGTGTATGAGTGCACATTTGTGTGTGTGTGTCTGTGTGTGTACATGTCCACGAGAGAGAGGTGGGGGCAGAAGCCAACCTCAGCTGTCATTCCTCGGCAGCCTTGGTTTTTGACACAGGGTCTCTCCCTGAGGTTTGGGGATCAGTGATTAAATCAGCGCAACCGGGCCAGCAAGACCCAGGGATCTGCTTACCTATCTCTGCTGCCCAGCCCTGTAATTGAGCAAATGCTATTAAGACTGGCTCATTTACATAGGATTAGGGGATTCAACCCCAAGTCAGCCCTTTACTGAGGAAACTCTCTCACCAGTCCCTTCCCTCAGCCCTTCTCTCCACCAACTAATCCTTTTGTAAACTCTAGTCTGGAACAAGGTCTTGCCAAATTGCTTAATCTGGCCTAGAACTCACTCTATAATCCTTGAACTTTTGACCTTTCTGCCACCACCTACCAAACAGCTAATAATACAGCTGTGTGCCACTATGTCTGTTCTTTTGGGTGCTTTTAAAATGAGAATAAAACTGGGGAAGTCTAATTTTCCAGTTTTATATTCTGTGATCCCTCTTAAAAAAAAAAAAAAAAGCCTTAGAGCAAAATTTATGCTATAAGAAGGCATACTAATTTTTGTGATTACCACTCAGATTTCTGCACTGGCATAAAAATCTGACCTTACTCATCCACCATCCATCACTTTGAACTCAGAGTGAAGTTGACAAAACTGTCCTGAGGTGTGAGAGCAAATGAGATTGAAGAGCAGTGGATAGTCATAGTGGTGTCAAGAGTTTCATCAAGCCTTCGCATTCTCAGGTGTCAACATGTTTTTGTGAGAGGAAAGAAGCAGATGATATGTGCTTTACTACGTGAATGTAGAAATAAGTAGATACTGTTTCACTGTCCTTCTTGGTTTTCTTTCCAGTTGTGGGCTACAGAACATGTTCCAGAGATGGTCCAGCCAGCCGTGGAAAGAACTATAAAGAACCTCAAGCTAGAGTATGTGGACCTTTATATCATTGAAATACCGATGGCCTTTAAGGTAAGCTCATGTATCTACAAGTTAGAGCTCTATTCTCTGTTGATCATCCTTTAGTAGCACAGAATGCAGTAGTGTTTGTTACTGTAGATGGGGGATAATGGCCTTGCCTGCCCGACAAAAACCCAACAAATAATGCTAACAGGTTTGGGCCCAAGTTTCTTAACTAAATGTAATTTCTATAATACATGTTTTAACAGCTGTCATTGTTTCCCATCAAAATAACGCTGTGTTCCACATTTTAGTGAATGAGTATCTAGACATATCCATATTCTAACCCCACAGCTAGAAAAAGTCTTCACATATCTCAGAGCAAAATACTATATACAATAATAAAAAAATAATAATTCTTACCTCCCGTTCCCTCCAACAGAAGACAACAAAAAAGTGGTCAGATTTGTGAAGCCTAAAGAGACAGCACGTCAGGGTGTCATTTATTCCTCTAATACAAGTGCAGTCCTTTTTGGAACTTTGGCCATCTGTAGACACTCTGTTTATTAAATACCCTGATATACACAGTTACTGGGTAGGAAATGCTTTAAACTTTGATAGAAAGAGAAATTAAGAAACAGAACTGGACTTGGGAGAGTAGGCCCAGAACCTCACGTGGGCAGCACAGTAGAGCTGGCCCTGATGGTGTGTGTGAGGGAGAACAGCTCAGTTACCACTCAAGCCCAGATCCAGGGTTTTGAGGTTGCTCACCCCAACATCTGTCCCATCCATAAACTGCTCGAGTACATCAAGGGCCAGTCCTGCAAATCTAAAGCTGTAGGGTCTCCATGACATAGGGCAACAACAGGATACCAAACAGGATTTAACAGACAGGACAATATAGCTCAAGTTTGATAGGTTTTTAGTAAATTCACATTCAGTCAGCTCCATGAGTAATTAAAATAAAAAAATCTCACAGGGTCAGGGTTTCTGTATCTAATAATTGCCTGTGTGTTTCTACCTTGGAGTACAGCAACCTCCTTGTTCTCACCTGCTTGTTCCTTAGTGGCCTCCACCGTATTCTCTGGCTCAAAGTAACATAAACAGGGAGGCGAAACAGATATATTCTCTGGTCTGTTTGTATCTCACCGGGTCATATGCCTCTGCTGAGCAGGACAGTTGTGGCCTAAGTTCTTACCTTCAGAGGACTATGATTTTCCTCAGACCCAACTGCAAAGCAAGTACAAGACATACCAGCCACTGGCCTGGAACAGAACTGTAACACCCGGTGCACCTTGGGCTACCGTTTTCATTATTTGTACAAGTCTGGAGGGAAAGAACATTCTTACTCAATGAAGCAACTTTATTGCTCACAGATAGGCATCAGGGGACAGTGGCAACACAGCATTCATAGCAGGCTGATTTGCATGTGTCTGTTATAGGCACAACTGGAGCTGGGACTTCAAAATGCTGTTTTATATTCCTCAGGGACAATATGCCAAGCTGAGCTGAAACTTTGCAGGACACTGTTTTAAGAAGGACAGGATCAGGGTCCAGGCTATTCCAGAATGTTCTTCCTGGTCTCAGGCTGTGTCGGTCTTACTACATTCTTTAATTATTCTTGAGAACTCCAAATGGAAAGGAGGGGAAAAGCTGTGTCAGCCACTGCCTTTTAGTCATTCAGCTTGTACCAATTTAACTTCCCAGTGTTTCTTAACCTTCCTGCCTCGGGTGGCACTGATTCAGCTAACTCTACAGGGATCAGCTATGACCATCTTCCATCTTGCATTGTACACAAAAGCAGAAAGATCCAGCTTTAGCAAAACCTTATTTTGCTGCTCATCTTAAAAGCCCAGAAGCAAATAAATACATTTACCTTTCTTATAGGACTCCACAGAAGGTTGTAAAAATGTCCAGCAAAGCTACTGTTGTCCTAGTAATTTTCCTGAGTCTCAAGGCACAACAATGGGGAATGTGTTTTACAAAAGAATGCCTTAAAAAGGAGAGAAGCTCAAAGGAAAAACTTAGTAATAAATTGAAGAACAAAATGGGTACTGTTGCTTCATCTCCTTCTCTCCGTGTTTTGTGTAGTTGTGACAAATCTGAGGTTGAATAATTTAAAGCAAATGGAAGTTTGTTGGCTCAGGGTAATAGAAGCTGAGAAGCCCAAGCCAAGGTGGCTCAAAGAATTGTGCACCTGCCACCAAGCCTAATGACCTGAGTTTGATCCCTTGAACCCATGTAGGCAGAAGGAATGAGCCAACTCCCACAAGCTGTCCCCTGATCTCCATAGAAATGCCATGACAGAGGTACATACATACACACAAAATTAAAATGTAATTAAAAGATTTTTTAAAAGGACATAACCACTGGTGGGCTAGTGGGGACTGAGTGTCTCATGCTGTGCCTAGGACCTAGTGGCTGTCCTAGCCACCAACTGCATTTTTCCTTCCTTCCTTCCTTCCTTCCCTCCTTCCTTTCTCCCTCCATCCCTCTCTCCCATCTCTCTCTCTCTTCTCTCTTTCTCCCTCTTTTTTAATGTTTTACATTTTTATCTTGAATTTCGTACATGAATACACCATATTTGCTTTATTTCTACCCTCGACTTCTCCCATGGCCCCAATGTACCTGTTCTCAAATTAATGACCTCATCACCTCATCGTGCATATATATATATATATATATATATACATATGTATATATGTTCATATGTATACACATTTATGGTGTGTGAGTGTGTGAGTGTGTGAGTGTGAGTACATATGTATACACATTCATGGTGTGTGAGTGTGTGAGTGTGAGTGTGTGTGTGTGTGTGTGTGTGTGTGTGTGTGTGTGTGTGTGTGTATGTGTAAAACATACTGACTCCAATCGTTACTGCTTCTATTTGCATGAGTTTTGGGATAACCACTTAAGATTGGGTTCTCATCACTAAAAAACCAAAAAACCAAAAATCTGGTTCTCCATTCCTAAGCAGCCCCTGGCTGCCCGTAGCACTTTACTGGTTAGGTCTTATGAAAATTTCCTTTGTCCATGTCAGCATACTGAAAGGTGTGGCCTTGGCAGATCTTGTACAGAGGATGGTACTGTTCTTCACTAAATAATTTATCCTCACTTTTCATCATGCTTTGGGTTTCATAAAAGAGAAAGAACTTTGTTGCTTTAAACCTCAGATAAGACAGATGCCAGAACACTAACACTGAAAGTCCTCATTCTCAGCCATCATTCACTTCTTAAGAAGGCACATGTAGCTATTGTTAAATGGAAAACTGATCTACCTCAAAACAAATGTCAGGCAAGATAATGGCAATAATGTGCAAGTGCACTGGACAAATGAATCTGCCTGGAGAGTACCACGAAGAAGAGACTGCATTAACCATATTATACTAATTACAAAGACTGCAAGCAGTCCCTGTGCACACAGAGAAGCCAGGAAACATTAAACACACAGGCTCATCATCAAAGGAAAGAGATGTTTCCCTGTCTTCCTCTCAGAATTCTTGGAAAGTATGTACTTTAGAACCTGGTGACCCTTTGCTATTTATGAAATGAGGCTTCACCCATATCCTCCAGAGTTTATATTTTGTTTATCCCAGACTCTCCCCACTAAATCCAGAGCATCGCTTCTAAGTCCATTAAGCCCATCCCTATGAGAGAGGTGCCACTTGTTCTTTACAACAGCCTAAGTGACTTTTGTATCTTAGGCCAGGATAATCCTGACTCCCACAGGCATTGCTTACCTCAGTTATTCTCCCCAGACCCTAAACCTTGAGCCCTGTTTCGTCAACAGAGCCCGTCTTTATGGAAGAAGCCATATGTACTTTGTAAAGAGTCTCAAAGTAAACATGTCTTTAGTTTGTTCTATACTTTGTACTAAGTTAATTGTCATCAGGAACCTTTTTTCCAAAATTGTGCTATGCTTAAATATGACTAAAAAAACCCAATTGGTATCAGATCCCAAGAAGTTTGGCTCAGCAACAGCTAACTAAGTCAGGCTAAACCAAGTCTCATTCTTACCTCCCCTGAATCATTTCCCTGCCAGCTATTACACTTGCAGAGACCCTCACAGCTGGCACCCAAATGTGGGCACACAACCCTTGGAAAAAGCAAAAACATTTTTCTTTAAACAGAAATTAGAGCCAGGCACAGTGGCACATGCCTGTAATCCCAACACTTGGGGAGTCAGAAGCAGGTGGATCTCTGTGAGTTCGAGGCCAGCCTAGTCTACAAAGTCCAGGACAGCCAAGGCTACACAGAGGAACCCTGTCTTAAGGGAAAAAGGAAAAAAAGAAAGGAAGGAAGGAAGGAAGGAAGGAAGGAAGGAAGGAAGGAGGGAGGGAGGGAGGGAGGGAGGGAGGGAGGGAGGAAGGAAGGAAGGAAGGAAGGAAGGAAGGAAGGAAGGAAGGAGGAAGGAAGGAAGGAAGGAAGGAAGGAAGGAAGGAAGGAAGGAAGGAAGGAAGGAAGGAAGAAAAAAAGAAAGAAAGAAAGAAAGAAAGAAAGAAAGAAAGAAAGAAAGAAAGAAAGAAAGAAAAAAAAGAGAAATTCAGCGTTTAGGAAACTTGGGCCTCCCACCTAAGGGGTTACAACCATATAAGTGACAGAGTAAAAATTAACATAGGTTCTTTTCAGTCGTTGGAAACAAAGCATTTTATGCAATTATTGAGATATTGTTAAGATCTAGAGGAGCAAAATATTTAGAGCAACAGCTTTGCAACCTTATACATGTAGGAACTAATAGAAAGACAGTCCGGATAAGGAGGATAAAAATCCCTGTAATTGTTTTATAAGCTGCAGTACAGTAACATATTGCTTAAACCCTCTCGGGCATATTTTTTGGCAGGGCAGGCAAAGTAGATATCAGTAACTCAGGTTCCCTGGTCACAGAGCCGCATCAGGGCTCACTCTTCTGAGGGATCTGATTGGAACTCAAAGGCCTTGGTCAGCAGCCTTTTCCACACCGCTTTTTCCATTCCCAGGTTTTGGTAGTGCAGAGCAAATCCCAGGGAGTGCTGGGCAGGGCTCCGCGACCCCAAGCATGAGCTAGCCCTCTGTTGCCCCAGAGCTTAGTTTTA